CCTCTGATTTGATGACCGGACCTGGCGAGAGTGTGTCGTGCGGACTTTAGAGAAGGACTGCACAGCGATATAGTTTCCTAATCTAAAAACGAAAAAAAAAAAATAAGTAAAGAATGAAAAGAATTATCAAACGTTAAAATGACTTTGCCTTCATATAGTCTGAATCCTTGTATCCTTGGTGGAAAACTCCCATAGCTGCGGTAAAACCACGCAAAGGAACATAGATGAGAATCAGAAACTGTGAACGCGCATCTCATTAATCCTGAAACAAAAAACCTTTTCATATTCAAAGCTTTAGAGAACGTAGACTTTACCTCTCCACTCTATGGGAGCTGTTTCGCATACCAAATTTGTAAATGGTTACGTTTGAATTAATTCTGAATGACTCTGAAAGACTGTTTTTTCCATAGATTATTGGATTCGTATATTTCCACATCTTTCGCGTCAGATTAGCGAGGGCTAATATCCGATACCATTTTAAGTGTACTTGAATGAGGGGACAAGTTATTTCCGACTAGAATCAGCAAACGCTGGTTAATCAACCTAGGGTTGGGTGTGTCCATATCCACTGTTTTAGGTCAGTGATCGCTTTGGATAAACGTGCGTGGTTTAAAGACCACGGGCTTGGCCTGAAGCCATTTTAAGGGAAGTTGAGTTGATAAACTGTCCTCTTTCTTGGTGGTCAATCGTCCCTACTAAAGTGACACATTGATTTAATTTCTAGAGGAGGCATTCAAGGGGACTTGTAAAGATATCTCTGATTGCACGTGTGAATACGGCAGATCCCAGATATTTAGTCAAATTACCTCTGAATTGGTTATTGGAACTGACGGGAGTGTGCCGTGCGGCCTTGGGAGAAGGAACGCTGAGCGATATAGATTCCCTGATCTAAACGGATAAAACTAAAATTAAGAGTTCAAAAGAATAATCAAACGTTAGAATGGCCATTTAAAAAGACTAAATGAGAACAAAAGGTATTCGAAACCTAGCAAACAGAAAGGAGAAACAGCGAATGTACACCTTATCAGCCCTGAGCCAGAAAGCCTTTTCATATTCAAATGTATTGACATGCGAATGAGCAGAGACTCTTCAGAGACCAGAAATAATATAATTTAATTTATATTCTTAAATATAATGTAATTGTATTATAACTCAAATTATAATATACATTATATTGTAATCGCCAAACAGGGCATTAATTTGAGAAGTATGACATTAACATTAATCCTTACAGTTCGATTTCGTTGACCTGCTATCCAGTGCCAAAAGGGCGGAGGTGTGTTTTAATTTTTTGCCTTTTAAAAACACTCCCAGAAGTGTGGCACAGGTAATAGCCAACTGATCAAGGAAGCAAATTTAGAAGGAGGGTGTGAACTAAACATCAGACAGACCACAGCCTTTTGCAGGTAACTAGAGACCTGCACTAACCAAACGTGTGAACGACACCATGAACTAATTCATGCCCACAGATCTGGCTGTTATGAAAGCTCTAATGCTGTGACACAGCAGACTGTGAAGGCTCGACTGCAAGAGCAGCTTTTAGGTGTCGCACACTGCACTGAAACAACAGCAATAATTCAGACCTGGTCAATGAAAACTCGGTTTCATGTGACAGCTGGAATTAAAATTGCAATGGACATGATAATGGAGCAAGCAAAAGAATTCCACATGTCTGAATTTGAAACTGTTGAAAACATCAGAATTAACTGTGTTTCTCTCTGCATTTGTTTCTGTCAGGTTTACTTCTGCAATTCCTCAGGGGACGGATGCCAGGACGGCCGGACCTCACGATTGTTAGAACATAACCTGAGACTCGGGAGATGGGTGAAAAGACACTTCAAAGGCCATTTACATCTCACAATAGCACATCACTACATTAGCATGGCCTCCCAGTTTAGAACTGGAACTAAAATTTGCAACACAATTGTTATCCAGTAGATTCCACCCATCTCCTATGAACACTGAACACACTCCTCCATCACTACACCCTCACAGCATCATCACCTGGAATAGATCAAGTCTATCCAGACCGAACACTACACATCATGAGAAGATAAAGATGACATAGAGTCCAAAAGTGTCACTTCACTAAAGATCTATTGTGCATCTTCACACTAACAGATCCAGATAGCTTCACACACATAGGATGGTAAAGCTGATCCCATGATGACCGAGGCACACATAGCATACGCTATTCACAACACTCTGCCAACTCATGGGAAAACACTGTAATATACATATGAATGGCTACAGTCACAAATCAATGATGCAAAAAAAAAATTAAAGCAGAGGCAGACCTGCTATTAAATTTAAAAATGTTTAAACTTTCTGATTGTTATTAGGGTGGTTGGAAGGTCAGAGGGCCCCTGATTTCTCAACAACAACTAATAACAGAAACATCATAACAAATAGATCTGAAGTGTGAGCGCCTCAAACAATTACAGAATTTACAATTCAACCCTGTCATTGACTGTGACTTAGCCAACAACACACACACACACACACACACACACACACACACACACACACTCTCTCTCTCTCTTTCTCTCACACAAACTATCACACTCACACACAGACGCACACACACACACACACACACACACACACACACACACACACACACACCCTCACACAAACACACAATCTCACACCTGTTACAAGGAATGAACAATCTCCATTCATGTTCCAAGTCACTTCTTAGATTGTATAAGTGATTTACATTGGAAGATTCCTGAACAAACAGTGATTCTTCATATTTTTTTTATTTTTGAATATTATTGTTATTACAAGACGTATTGATGCATACCATTTATTTGATTGCTTTGATTACACTGACCTCTTGCTGCATTTCCTTTGTATAATTCAGACCAAAAAAATATATATATATATATATTTAAGAATTGGATATTTAATATGAGACATCCTTACCATTCAGGACCTTGAGAAACATATGAGACAGATGTACCATTCCCACCTGCTGACAAGAACATGGTATTTTACATTGAATATGACATGATTTTGTTTTGTTGCATTATGCGTTTCTAAGGATTTCTTCGCGAGTTCAAGTTCATATGTGTTCAATCGTGAAGCGGACATTTAAGATGCTTTTCAGGTGTCTCACACAAAGCAGTGGGAAGCCAAGGAGAACCCCTTCACCCACTGAGGTCTGTCCAGACAGCCGCACCGTTGGGAGGTGACAGGATTGGTCAAGAAGGGACAGATTATCATCATGGGGAAGGTGCCAGGGAAGTGAAAGTTTCTCCATGAAGGGATGACACGTCAACTGAACAAGTTGAAAGGTCTAGATTGACTCTATGAACTTTGCTCACATCACAGGATCACCGGAAGAAAGCCTGAATGCTTCATCCACCTGCTGGACTCAAGCTATATACACCTGGTGAGAACAGGTGTTCTGCAGGGGAACACAGCCCTCTAAGCTTCTACAGATGCTGACATTGCAAAGACAATTTTGAGTTACATCTCAAGGATTACAACAAACGTCTTACTCTGACCCCGTAAGTGTTCATCCGAATGTGACCCACGGGGTCAAGGAGGGAATCTGTAAGACTGGAAAACTGGTTATAGGGAACGACCACTTCTTGAGAAGACAAAGAACCCACTGCATAGTGGCATTTGGGCTCACTCTTGTGAAGGCCCCATCCGAGACTAGAGGTCTCACCTCTGAATCATCTAATCTACATTTCTTCCCCTCATCCCCCACTCCTTCCCCTTCATGCAGATCACCTGAAAACTCACATAAGAATATATATATGGTTTAATGTGAATGATTATTGTGTTTAGTATCATTTTAAATGTCCCAGAGTGAGTGGTTCAGATGTCTCATTCCAAAAGAGTAAAACAAAAGGTACTAAGGTTTTTTAGAAGTTTAGGGATATCTGGCACACAAATGAATGTGGTCTCCTACTCCCAGAAGGTGTGAACTCAAAGCTAATTTCCACTGTTAGCAAATGGTACCATGTAAATCAACTTCTGCCCCCAGTAAGTCTGGGGGGATGAACACAGTAAATTTCCACTGTGAATACAGGTTTACATATGAAATGAGGTCTGGCTATTTAATGGAAGGCAGCAAGGGATCGTGGCTCTTTCTGTATTTCAGATAGCCCATGAGGTAGCTCATGTAGTTCGTAAATGTTGGGTTTGCATCTATTTATCTAATCCTAAAACATTTGATGATTTGCATGGATTATCTTTCAATTGATTATGGAATTGTTATAATACATTTACCTGACATAATAAATTGTTATATTTGATTATTCTAACAGACTTTGACTTTATTTTCATTGGAGTTAAAAGGAATAGTCAAACATTAACGTATATTTAAAGATGCACAGATATCATTGAAAAACACTTTCATTTTGTGGAGTCAGATGAAACGAGTTAATACATAAGATAATGTATTGCATTTAATTAAAAATCCCTTTGCCATTGGAAGAGACGGAACGCGCATGTGACCTTCACCGCTAATTTGAATACCGCCATTGGATCAAATTAGGCGGACTTACATTGTTTTACCTTTTACTTTTTATAATCAATAAAGGGCGTTTGACTCAGTCTTTGCACGTTCGCTCTGTAAACACTGGGTCTATACTTACGCCTACGTCACGCTTGACCTTTCACCCTGATCACGTAATGTGTGTCGCATCACAGCTCGTGCAAGACCAGCATCTGTGGTTTAAAAGTATATAAATGTTTATTTTGTTATAAATGTCCGCTGGTTTGTCTAGATCAGACTCTTATTCCTCGGCTGGATCGTGTCGAGACTTTGAAGCTGCACTGAAACTCACATCTGGACCTTCGACCTGTTGGACCCCATTGAAGTCCCTATATGGAGAAACACCTGGAGTGTGTTCCTCAAAAACCTTCATTTCTTTTCAACCGAAGAAAGAAAGACATGATCATCCTGGATGATGTGGGGTTGAGTGAATAAATTAGGAAATTTGAATTCTGCAGTGATCGGCTCCTGTGACGGAGCTACACACCCCCGGTCAGGTTTACCGGTTCACTCAGAACCCAGTTGCCCTCGTTGCTGGCGTTGCATCTCACGCGACCCGTGACCCGGTTCAGCTCGACCGGCACATGGAAGATTGCGCTGGTTCCTTCAGTGGTGTTCTTCGTGATGACGTCGGTGTCGTTCAACAGGCTGAAGGTAATTAACGGAGATCCTTTCAAAGACCGGCACGTGACGATGGCTCTAAAGCCAGCGTCTCCAAGCTTCACCACCTCGAGGGAGATTTCAGGCTTCGACACGTACTCTAGAAGAAAAAACTTTTTTAACTCCATTAAACTGATCAAAAGTGACATTTATAATGTTACAAAAGATTCCCTTTCAAATAAAAGCTGTTCTTTTGAACTTTCCATTCATCAAATAATTATGGAAAATAAAATGTGTCAGTTTTCAACATTGATAATAATCATAAATGGGTAACACTTTACAATAACGTTCATTAGTTAACATGAACTAAGAATGAACTACAGCATTTATTAATCTTAGTTAATATTAATTTCAACATTTGCTAATACATTATTAAAATCAAAGGTTGTATTAGTTAACATTAGTTACTGCACTGTGAACTAACATGAACACACAATGAACAGCTGGATTATTATAAACTAACATTAACAAAGATTAATAAATACCGTAACAAATGTATTGCTCATTGTTAGTTCATGTTAGTTAATACAGTAACTAATGAACCTTATAGTAAAGTGTTACTCATAAATGTGTCTTGAGCATCAGATCCTCATATTAGAGTGATTTCTGAAGGATCATGTGACACTGAAGACTGGAGTAATGATGCTGAAAATTCAGCTTTGATCACAGGAGTAAATTACACTTTACTATATATTCACAGCTGTAATAATATATCAAATTTTTACAGTATTTTTTTTATCAAATAAACACACTTTTTTCTAAAAACAAACTTGTGAATGGTAGTGTAATACGATGATTAATCTGTATATCCATTATACCTTTGACCTGCACAGATATGACATCACTGCAGCTGAAGGTCATCGTGTCATTGAATCGGTTTGATGCCACACACGTATAATTGCCTGTGTGTTGCACAGAGAGCCGGTGTATGATCAGTGTGTCGCCAGTCGTGTCGTACGGCCTTTCGTTCCTAAGCCACTCGTAGGAGACGTACGTTCCTCTGCTCTCTCTGCACTGGAGGCTCAAAGTTTGTCCTTCCCACACGGTCTCACTGGCGGGATGGGGAGCGATTGTCACGTCCTCCACCGGGACTGCAGAACAAACGGCAAAAACACTGCAATTTGCTGAAGATGTTGATATTTATGGACAAAAAGTGATGAAATTCTGATGAGATGCATATAAATATCAGCATCTGCCAATAATATGTCTTAGTAAGATGATGTTTAAATGCTTAGTTTTATGATCTGTTTTTTTTTTTAAATAATGCAATGTACTGAAATGATGATTGAGAGATGAACAAATAAACCTTCTTTAAAAGCCTGATGATCATATTTAATAATAAATGATGGATAATCAATAAACCTGCTTCAGTCCAGCTAAAAAATATTACTAACAATATCAAAGTTATTCTGGCGTTTACTTGATCAAATCTATGGAAGCTTGTTTCCGCCACAGAATAAAAAATAAAAAAGGTTACTACGACTTTTTATCTCTTCTGACTTTTTATTTCAGAATTGCGTGATATAAAGTCGCAATTGCAAGTTATAATGTCAGAATTGCGTGATATAAAGTCGCAATTCTGACTTTTTTTCTTGCAATTGCGACTTTATATCACGCAATTCTGACATAACTTGCAATTGCCACGTTATATCACGCAATTCTGACATAACTTGCAATTGCGACTTTATATCACGCAATTCTGACATTATAGCCTAACTTGCAATTGCGACGTTATATCACGCAATTCTGGCATTATAACTTGCAATTGCGACTTTATATCACGCAATTCTGACATAACTTGCAATTGCGACTTTATATCACGCAATTCTGACATTATAGCCTAATTTGCAATTGCGACGTTATATCACGCAATTCTGACATTATAACTTGCAATTGCGACTTTATATCACGCAATTCTGACATAACTTGCAATTGCCACGTTATATGACGCAATTCTGACATAACTTGCAATTGCGACTTTATATCACGCAATTCTGACATAACTTGCAATTGCGACTTTATATCACGCAATTCTGACATAACTTGCAATTGCCACGTTATATCACGCAATTCTGACATAACTTGCAATTGCGACGTTATATCACGCAATTCTGACATTATAACTTGCAATTGCGACTTTATATCACGCAATTCTGACATAACTTGCAATTGCGACTTTATATCACGCAATTCTGACATTATAGCCTAATTTGCAATTGCGACGTTATATCACGCAATTCTGACATTATAACTTGCAATTGCGACTTTATATCACGCAATTCTGACATAACTTGCAATTGCGACTTTATATCACGCAATTCTGACATTATAACTTGCAATTGCGACTTTATATCACGCAATTCTGACATAACTTGCAATTGCGACTTTATATCACGCAATTCTGACATTATAGCCTAATTTGCAATTGCGACGTTATATCACGCAATTCTGACATTATAACTTGCAATTGCGACTTTATATCACGCATTCTGACATAACTTGCAATTGCCACGTTATATCACGCAATTCTGACATAACTTGCAATTGCGACTTTATATCACGCAATTCTGACATAACTTGCAATTGCGACTTTATATCACGCAATTCTGACATAACTTGCAATTGCCACGTTATATCACGCAATTCTGACATAACTTGCAATTGCGACGTTATATCACGCAATTCTGACATTATAACTTGCAATTGCGACTTTATATCAATCAATTCTGACATTATAGCCTAATTTGCAATTGCGACGTTATATCACGCAATTCTGACATTATAACTTGCAATTGCGACTTTATATCACGCAATTCTGACATTACTTGCAATTGCGACTTTATATCACGCAATTCTGACATTATAGCCTAATTTGCAATTGCGACGTTATATCACGCAATTCTGACATTATAACTTGCAATTGCGACTTTATATCACGCAATTCTGACATAACTTGCAATTGCCACGTTATATCACGCAATTCTGACATAACTTGCAATTGCGACTTTATATCACGCAATTCTGACATAACTTGCAATTGCGACTTTATATCACGCAATTCTGACATTATAACTTGCAATTGCGACTTTATATTACCCAATTCTGACATAACTTGCAATTGCGACTTTATATCACGCAATTCTGACATTATAACTTGCAATTGCGACTTTATATCACCCAATTCTGACATAACTTGCAATTGCGACTTTATATCACGCAATTCTGAGATAAAAAGTCAGAATTGTGAGATACAAACTCGCAATTGCAAGAAAAAAAGCATAATGTCAGAATTGCGTGATATAAAGTCGCATTTGCAAGTTATAATGTCAGAATTGCGTGATATAAAGTCGCAATTCTGACTTTTTTTTCTTGCAATTGCGAGTTTGTATCTCGCAATTCTGACTTTATAACACCCAATTGTGAGATATAAAGTCAGAATTGCATGATATAATGTCGCAATTGCAAGATGTAAACTCGATAACTGCGATAAAAAGTCGCAGTTATCTTTTAAAATGTTTTATTCTCTGGTGGAAACAATCTTCCATGAAAATCAGTGTAGATTTGACACAGAAAGACTCGTGAAGCTCGAGGTGAAGGAGGACGTTTGTACAATTACACAGAGACTTTTACTGGATAAAAGAGTCTAATCTCTCAGTCACACACAGAAGGACTGGAGGAGAGTGTGTAAAAAATATCACTTTGAACATTTATAATACAGTAGTTTTAAAGGGTTAATGAGATACCAATGACTTTGAGGTCCAGGCCTTGACTGAGCGAGCTCTGGATGTCTGTGTTGTTGTGTCTGCTGGCCTTGCAGACGAGCCGACCGTCGTTTCGGGATTTGATAAACAGAGGAAAAGCGGCTATTTCTCCAGACAGAGAGCTGTACTCTGCGATCATCCTCCCCGGGTTTGACTCGACATAGAGCTCGTATAGGACAGGCACCGAAGCCGGGATCCCAGGAATCTCGCAGTAGAAATCCTCAATCGAACCTTCTAAAGCAACGGACGGACCAATCAGAACCGGTTCATCAAGCGGTTCATCCAGAGCTCCTGGAACAGAGGAAAAGAGTCGAGAACACACACACACACACACACACACACACACACACACACACACACACACACACACACACACAGCAAACAAATATGCTCTTCCTCAGTTTCTGTCTTGTTTTCCAGTAAAAAATATAAAAAAAAACATTCTTAAATCAAGATACATTTAACTGGAGAAGAAACAAAATGACTGAAGATAACAAGTGCTTTTTCTGAAAAATATATAAAAAATGATGCTTAAAACAAGAAAAAAAATAAAACATCTGCCAATGGGGTAATATCAATAATCATTTTTTGAAGAAAAAAAAAGTAATTTTTTCTGACCCAACTGTCAGATATTTTTCTTGTTTTAAGCATAGTCACATTATTTTTATACAGTTTTCCAAAAACAAAACTTAATCACGTAAGTAATTTTGCTTCTCAGGTAAATATGTGTGATTTAAGAATGTTATCTGTGAAGGAAAATGAGACGTTTTTTTGTTTTGTTTTTGCAGTGCATCTTATTTAAAACACTTAAAATATCAGAATGTCATTGCATTTGATGACACGTTTGTTGGGTTTGAAATGATAAAGCAATAGATGTAGTACTGAAGATGAAGACATTCAGTGTTGTTTTTGTTTGTGGTTTGTGGATCATAATTCAGGCAATAATGCAATTAAGTTCATAATTATCTCGGTGAACAAACACATTCAAATTGATGCATTTTGCAGATGCTTTCATCCAACGCAGCTTGAATCGCATTCAATATATATTACAGTAGTCAACATTTGAAGTGAATCAAAAAAGTTCATCAAAGTTGTCCTAAGACAAGAACAGGTATTGTTCAAAATTCATAACTTTAATGAAAGGTTTTTATCCACTTCAAATGTTGACTACTGTATCAGTTCTTGGGAATCTAAACACGTGATCTTGGCACTTTTTTGGGGTATTAAACACACACACAAACACACACTTAACCATTACTATCTATATAACCCCAGATAAAAATGGCAGGAAAAGAAAGCCACGTACCCGTCCTTGGATACAAGACAGAAATACCTGGTGGAAAAATATACATACATAAATGAAAAGAGACGTCAACAGACACCACATGAAAACATCCATCAGATATGCACAAGTTTCCTCCACCTATGAGAATCAGTGAAACATGCATCGACTCCATCCTCGCTGAATATCCAGATCCAAACACCAGAATGATCTTTATATTAATGATCCAAACACCAGAATGATCTTTATATTAATGCAGCAAGTGAACACACACACACACACACACACACACACACACACTGAAGGACGTGTCTCACTTCAACAGCTGATGGGATCCACCCTAAACACTCCATGTGTCGAGCACAGATAGGGCAGATGCCAATGCAAACCACACAACAACGACGGAAGATTGTGGAGAACACATTGCATGAACATCTGAGATAAACTATGTACTGCCTATAATATTGTGTTTGCAATAATACGGCCTAAAGGCATGATCGCTCGGCCTCTTTAGATTCAGATTTAGATTAGTGTTCAGAAGTCATTTTGACTTCAGTCATAATGTTTTTTTTTAATAAAAGTATTGGTGTACGGAAAGATAACATGAACATTTTCAGGACAGGAAAATTATAAACCGTTCATCATGTCACGGGTCGTATGGAGCACATTCTTCCCAGTGACACACATTCTGTTGAATTTAGTTTTAATAGTTTTTTTCCATCTGAATGCACCAACAAAATCAATGGTGAAGAAACCAAACAAGGAAGTATTGGCATTGACAACACTTTGTATGTTTTAAAGTTAGTGACCTCGAGTAAGTGCCAACAGCACAACCTACTGGTGTAAAGTTGTAAATTAATCTTAAATCCGATCATAAACTTTGCGATTTGTTAATTTTGAAACCAAGTCTGAGCTTTCACATTCTCTATAATAATTATACAAAAACTATTTGACTATTTGGCGCTCTTGACGTTTTGGCGCGGTTTTCCCGTAACTGCTTCAGTTCAAATGACACGTGACGTGAACCGATCATCTGTTCCTCTGCCCGACTAGTAATAATAGCACGGAATAAACATGAATAACCTCAGAAGGTATGTTGAAAGATACAGAACCACTTACTGAAAGGAATCATGTCTCATGTAATCGCTCAGCTAACGTTAGTGTTTTAAACGCGAAAAGACGTCAATAAAACAGCTTGAGAACGATGTCACGTCGTCACATTTACCTCAGAACAGACATTCATTGATGTTTCATGATATTTCGTGAATAAGTCGTTGAAATGTGTAAATTTTTACAACGATCTGGTGTAAAACATAATTATATTACTAAATATAAAACTGTTATGTGCAATATAAATGTTTACACTTGAGTGTTATCATCATCTAACATAGATATCTAACTGACAAGGTTCCCTGTTTTCTGTAGGAAAAAAATCAACATACTGTACCTGATATGCAAATGAATCAAATTGAGATCATAATATACCGACGTCAAGAGCGTGTGAATCGAATTGAATCTTGAATTCTGTGTTAAAACCAAGCCCTTGTTTAAAAAAAAAGTCCTTCACAAAAAATGACTCCAATACTTTTGTTTGTAACAATATATTTTTTACAGTGTTGGATTGTCATGATCATTGATAATACAACAATGTCACTAATGTTTTTGACCCTGTATTTATTAATTTATTTATTTATCTTATCTATCTATTTATTTATTAATTATTAAAGCAAGTTCAATAGCAACATTTGGTAAATTAAACATTTACTTGGTATATAAAAGCCTTACAATCTTATACATACGACACATTTACAACACAAAGTTTAGCTCCAACCATAATTAAATACACCTGAATCAGCTAATCAAGGTCTTCAGGATCCCTAGAAACTATAGTGTGGTTGGAGCAGGTCTGGTCTGGTCTAGTCCGCAAAATTCACGATGAATGTTTTCATTTCCACAGTTTGAGGTTTAAAGGAAACGTCAGCTGGAAAGTTCATTCTGCTGAGAAGAACAGAAGAGAGATTAGATCCGTTCCTTACACGGCATCATATCCAAATGAAGCTTTTGAGAGACTAAAACTCACGGCATCGCATCAGACTGGATCTCATCTGAAGGAGAAATGAGAAAGAAAAGCATGATAAAGACCTTGTGCCAAAAACACATGATGAAACGAGTGGACTGAACTTACGGTTAATGCCATGTTTCCAGGAGTTGTTTCTGCGCTTGGTGCTCCAGAACAGAAAACATGAGGCTCCTACGATCACCATCAATAGGAAACCACAGAAAACTAATGCAATGACCTCCATGGGCGTCGCTGACAAATCTGTGCAAGAACATACGAAACAAAACCATCATCAACTTTCTTTAAAGTCACCATGAAATCAAAACTGACAATTTTTTTTAATGTAATATTGCAGTGATTATTTGAAGAGTACGTTTACACGACAACGCTATGCTTAAAACAGAGAAGTTTTTCCTTTGAGTTTTCCGCGTACAGACACGGATCCACGAAAAAGATTAATAACACTGTATTCTGCTGCCAGGCCAGTAGATGGCGATGAAACACTATAGACTGAACACGTAACACGCATGTGCATGACATCATTGCCTCCAGAGATTCGCGTTTTTGTTGTTTACATGCGATCGGACCAACCAACACAAGTATCGAAAACGAAAATAGGGAATCGATTTTAACGGCTTTTTTTTTTTTTTTTTTACCAAAAATGTGTTCCCTTTCAAGGCGGTCACTTCGACATTACGTCATACTGACGTATATGGGAACTCCTCCCTTCTCCATTTTCACTGAAATCTTATAGGTTAACGCCAGCTGGAGACAGCTGGCCAATTGACGCAAAACATGCAAATGCTGACCGGTCCGCGGGCAGTATAAATAGCATGGGCGCGACAATTACGTCAGAATCTCTTTCTTCACGCTAGAAGTCTTATCTGAAGTCATCGTGGAAGTTGCAATAGAGGTTACTCACCATGTTTCCTCCCCGCATCCGATGGCTGCTACATGCCAGATATGTGCGGTATTGACTCGCTCTACCCAAACAAGGATCTACCGAGGCCGCACTCACGGACGGCTGGCATACGTGCTGGTCTACCAGTGCGCGCCCTCATAAACCCGGGCATCAGCAGGGATGAGGCCCACTGCCGCCAGCGGCTGCTGGTGGGCCCTCTCACGCCCAAAGAAGAGTTGACAGTCGTTCTCCCCTGTGGCCCAGTGGCGGAACCTGAAGCCTTCGCGCGAGAGACCCGTGTTCGATCCCGGCTCTCGCAGCAGATACATTTTAAACCTGCCCGTCGCCTCTCCGGTCCTTTTCGCGGGCTCGCTAGAAGGACTCGACGCGATAGGCTTCGTCGGAAAGGATACTTTTATTATTTTACTTAGCCCGGTATCTAACAGCCAGGCTACTTCAAGAAAGATTCCGTCTTCACGACGTCCTATGGTAAGTCATGCGAAGACGCATCCAGAGAGACGAGGCAAGGCGATGGCTCTGTGTCTAAAGGCGCGAAAGTGGTTGTTTCCCCCTGTGGCTCAGTGGCGAACCCCAAAGCCGTCGCACGGGAGACCCGTGTTCGATCCCAGCTCTCACAGCAGATAAAATTTAGTCTCGCCGCGGCCAGACATTAAACCGAAACTTTTGATCTCTATACGTCCAGCCTTCCTCGATGTCTCTCTTCGTCGGCACCTCGTCCCGCCTAATTCGGCTACAGCCGCCAAAACGGTTCGAACCCGTAACGAACCGGATCTTCACCGTTGGCAGAGGGCGGGACCGGGAATGTGGCGACACAGGCCACGGAGAGCGCCGCGTCAGGACGCCCCGCTCTGGTAATGGAGGTGCACAGCTTACAGCTTATGTCGTCAGGCTGCCCTGTATCCTTCAGTGCAACTGGCCATTCTGATTTAACCACGTATCCACAGTTGTTGTCGCTACGCCACTGACGCTGTGTTTATGTTCAGACTACACACTGATATGTGCTATGATTTGTGCCGTCATATATTGCCC